ATATATATATATATATATATATATATATATATATATATATATATATATATATATATATATATAACAACATGTGTGACATTGCAGTATTTATATAGTGTTGTTTCATATATGAAACATTCATGTCTTCTTTTTTCCACATAGAAAATAGTTATGAAAGTTTGACATATGGAACAACATTGTATAAAAATTGCATTCTCACGCATGACTAGAATGAAATTGAGTTTATATACCCTTAAAGTGTTTGAGTGTCCTAATAGAGGGCCTTATAAAAGTTAAGTTTATAGAATCAAAAAATAAAGTGTCAGGTTTAAAAGTGTTTCAATAAGTTTATAGGACACTTTTATGTGTCGTAACAAGTTTTTTATGATCATTTTAAAATAAAATGTTGTATTAGCTATTTTATATGACGTTCTTTGAAAATTTGTTCTATAAACATAAATGTCTTGTAAAAATGATGGATTTATAGAAGTTTTCTTCAAACTAACTAATACAACACTTTATTTTATTTTTTAAGTCCTAAAAAAACTTGTTACGAAAGCCAAAAATGTCATATAAACTTATTATAACATTCTTAGATATGACACTTTACTTTTTGGTCCTAAAAACTTTAAGTCTTATAAGACACTTCATTTAGACATTTAAACATTCCAGACGTTCTATAAAACCCGATTTTGTTGTAGTGCATAATTCATATGTAGAACAACTCATGAAATTAATTTGTAAGTTTATAGGATTTATCGGGTTTATAAATTATTATACGACACAATTGGCCATTGGCCGATACGCAATCATATACAAACCCATAAAAAAGCAAGCATTTAATTTGCAGAGTGAATACGTACCTTTATATATGATCATATCTGAACTTGAGCAAATTGGCCATATATGAACTAAACCCAAATACAATCTTTTCAATCTGAAATCAAATCCAAACCAACATAAAAAGAAAGCATCGAGTTGTGTAAACATGACTGACGCGCCATTATACCCAAACGCTTATCCAGTAAGCGTTTACTGGTAAGAGTCAACAACCTAACTTATTTTGTAGAGTAAAATTGTAGTTCATAAAAAAAAAAAAAAAATAGTGTCATATCCAACAATTTACTTGGTAAGTGCTTATCGAGGTAAGAGTAGTCACTATCCCTTACTGGGTAAGACTCTTCATCCTTATCATCAATCTTATCTAGTAAGATTTTTGACCTTTATCATGTTACTTATCGCGTTAGCATCTAGTAAAAAAGATCCCAAAAAAGGTTGTTCGACAATGGCTTTATGGGTTTAACATTCCAACTAGCTCTATGGCTTATTCAATTAACCATTGGGTATTCGTTTCTAGCTTAATCGGTGAGCCAAAAATGAATGAATCATATAAATTCAGCCATGTTTATTCCATACTTATAATGATGTAGTGGTTAAGTAAAATTATAAAGCTAATTTGTATGGAAAGATAAATATATAGAACCAACCGACAAAAAGGGTTATAGCTTATTGGGTTTCTTGGCTTGCAATTGAAGGCAAATCATCATATGGGTTTAATTATAGGTTTAGAAGTTAGAACCACCATGCGATTTCTCTCTCTTTTCTTTTTTCTCTTCTTACCCGAAAACAACATCACCACTACTATTTGTAATTCATTCCTACCCCTCGTAAATTACACTATTTTGTATTATTACAATATTACCCCTTAGACTCGATCAAAATCTAATTTTTAAAACAAACTAAAAACGTTAAAGAAAATCAAGAGTGAATGATACAGATACAAGTAAGTTAACCACATAGGTTGTGGCGTACTCGTTAAAGCTCATGGGATGCATGTAGTGGAAATTTCAGCTTCCGGGGGGGGGGGGGGTTCGAATTCCAGATGCTTTCAAAACCCTTGTGACCATAGTTGCGATGATTCCAATCCGTCTGTGGTCACCTGAGGGATTAATTGGTCGCATAAGATGGCACGGATGTTTACGGTTACCGAATAAAGATATAAGTATGTCATGGATTTTTATTTATATTTTCATATTGAAACATTCGTTGTTTTTATGATAATTAAGATACTTGTACGAGGATAAAACACAAGAACGTGATTTTAAGTAATATAAACCCGTTATTTAATATGTTAACGTCGTTGTCTTCACGGCCACTGTCAACCCGAAAATTTTCATACAACAATAGTTTACATTATTGAAAATTGTGTTCTTACGTTTTGGTACACGTACATACTACATTAAAATTGATATTTTATAGTCGATAAGCTATAATTCTACAGTAATTGTATGGTTGAAAGGAAACATAAGTCTCGATTTGAATCAACGGTTATAGTACGAGAATTCAATTAACAAAATGTGTGTATTTTGATCGATCTAAATAAAAGATAAAAAAAGGTTCACAAAAAACATGTTAAGAGGTTGATGTGAAAAGATGATGATTTTTCAGGGGGGTTTGAAGTAATATTTTTGTCTAATGGATAAAGAAATTTAAGGGGGGCGGGGGTGTCCCCCTTTCTCCGCCGTCCGTACATATGGATTGAAGGGCGGCGCCACCAGTACCACTACAAAAAATGAGCGGTGGAAAAAGTCTCCGGTGAAGGGTACCCTCCTTCCACTTGTCACACACACTCAACTCACCACTGCAATCTCTCTCTACCACAAACCATTACTCTAACTAAAAACCAGGAGCAACCTTCTTTTCACCGTACAACTTTACAACAACTTCAACTACAAGAACATAACTCCACCCTCAATTCTTTTGCTCACTTCAATCCCCCCCTTTTTTTTCTCTTTTTGATTTTCAATTTTTCATGCTTTTTCCGACTTTCTCTCTCTTCTCTTCTTCTTCTTCTTCTTCTTCTTTCCTCCTCCCATTCTCTCTCTCTCTAGATCTTCTAGCCCTTTTCATCTCTGTTCATGGCTAGTGCTGACGATCAACAGACCAATTTCAAGCATTTTTGTCGAATATGTAAGAAGGGTTTCATGTGTGGAAGAGCATTAGGTGGGCATATGAGAGCTCATGGAATCGGGGATGATACTGGCAATCTTGATGATGAAGATCCGGTGAGCGATTGGGAAGATAAGCAAGGGAACAAGAGAATGTATGCATTAAGAACAAACCCTAATCGGTTAAAGAGTTGTAGGGTTTGTGAGAATTGTGGGAAAGAATTCTTGTCGTGGAAATCGTTTCTTGAGCATCGGAAATGCAGTTCCGATGACGGTGAATCTCTCGTATCCTCGCCGGAGTCGGAAGCCGATGATGATGATGGGTATGATGATGATCATCATGGTGACCGGAGAGATTGTGGTGGTGGTGCAAGCGGGTGGTCGAAAAGAAAGAGATCTTTAAGGGCAAAAGTTGGTAGCTTTAATTCAATATGTCCATCAAGTGAAGATGAAGACCTAGCCCTAGCCAAATGCCTTATGGAGTTATCAAATGCTAGGGTTGATCCGGTGGAATTAACCGACGTCGAAGACTCCTGCGCCTCCCCTAGTAGGGAGGAGCAACGGCGGAACCCTATGTTTACTAAACCGGCGTTTCTGACGTCACCTTTTACACGACCACCACCACCTCTAGATCATAAAGCTAAAGGCATCGCCACCACCCCAAAAGGCATGTTTGAATGTAAAGCTTGTAAAAAAGTATTCAATTCACATCAAGCATTGGGTGGTCATCGAGCAAGTCACAAGAAGGTTAAAGGTTGTTTTGCAGCAAGAAACGATCAGTTTGCTGATGATAGCATCGGCGATGACGATGTCATCACACACGACGAATTCTTCCCGTCTCCGAAACCAATTTCAAGCTACCAATTTAGCCAAGGTCCAAGCAGCACCATGCCGCCGGCTCCAGCACCGTTGGTCGGAGCACCACGGAGGAAATCCAGAGTGCATAAATGCTCGATTTGCAATCGGATTTTTGCTTCCGGCCAAGCTCTCGGCGGACATAAGAGGTGTCATTGGCTTACATCAAACATGTCTGATACTTCTTCTCTAGCGAAGTTTAACTTCCATGAACATATTGAACAACTCCATCGAAGAGCATTGGCATTACCTTCACAAATACTCAATAAATCGAAAGCACTGGATCTCAACCTCCCGGCTCCCGCGGACGATATCGCCGGATTAAGGAGGGATCCTCGGTATCCGTTGAGCTTCGAGGTTTCAACGGAGATCAATCTACATTCATGGAATGTAGATCATGAGAATGGTACAGACGGAGATGGAAAAGATCAGAACAATAGAACAGGTGATCAACAAGATGATCGCAAGAACACAAGCAACCATGAAAAAGAAGCAGCGGCAGGAGGAGGAGGAGGAGGGGCAACAATGGAGGATGATGAAGCTGACAGTAAGGTGAAGTTGGCAAAACTGAGTGAGTTAAAAGACATGAAAAACATCAGCGGAAGTTCGTCTTCATGGTTGCAGGTTGGGATTGGGACTTCAACAACTGATGTGGGTCCGAGTGGTCCATCTCATGACACATAATCGAATCACTTTTTTTTCAAACTTTTTAAAGAAAAACAAGTATATATATAACTCAGAACTGTAACTATATATATCCATTCAAGAAGCACAAAAAGTTTGGATGAAGATGATACCATTCCATCTGTTGTTGTAACTTTGGATTTGTGGGATTCTTTTGCAAAGTCTATATAAATCTTTTTTTCATTTTATTTCTACTTTCTTTTCTCAAAAAATATCAAATTAGTCGGCTCACATAACGGGTTGAATATCTCAGGTTAATATATCAAATTATTTGTACATGTGTTACATCATTTTGTCCCACACGAAAACATCCAACTGCATTCATCAATTCTTAAAAATCTAATAAATGCATTGTATTCTATTTTAGAAAAAATTACGAAAACAAAGTCAATATTTTTAAGATGGCTTACGAAAACATATATATATAGAGAGAGAGAGAGAGAGAGACTTTGTGTGTGTGCATGCGTTTACTTTCTTGAAAGACTACTTTTATTGTCGTTTTTTTCTCAAGCCATCTCTTTTACTTTACGAACTTCTGAACCCATAAGTTGAACAGGTTAGATATGTTTATATTAAAGTGTATAAAGCGTAGTTGCATAATTTTGAACATCATTTCTATAAATATGTTATGGATATAAATAAGTTGAAGAACTATAGCATGCAAAAAACATAAATGAGATCTCAACTACATAACTAAAATGAATGAACCGAGTACATTTATCGCAGTGTCTATCGACATTAACTAACCAAACTGAATACAAAAGTATCTTTGCAATGCATGTTTTTCATATATTACTTGATTGTGATATTAAACTTTTTATATTCGTACAAAAAGAAAAAAGTTCATATATTGATATCATATTTACAAGAATACCCACTCTTCGATACATCCCTAATTGCACTGATTCCACAACCATAATAGATATAAATCACTCCGAGCTAACAACACTACATACCATGGTAGTGCATGGGCTTGAATACCTGGAGACCTTCTTTTTAGATGTCTACCATCTTACCATCTCTCGTACCACTGAGGCAACATATGGGGATTGATATCATATATATATATATATATATATATATATATATGTATAGCTTATAAAAAGGTAAAAAGTAAAAAGAATGCAGCCTTTTAAGAGAGAGATTAAAAAGTCAGACAAAGTCGAATAACACATCAAGGAAACACACGTCATAAAACGCCTCAAGATTTCATAACATACCTTTAGCCTTACATAGCGGGGATGGGATTTAACATGAAGTTGGAGATAATGCCATGGTGCACCTTCTTAAACCCTAGTTTTATTTGAATGCTAGCTACATGCACAAGTCATACATACTTTCTAAGTGCTAAAATGATTATTGAATGCTAATTACATCTAATCTAACCGTGTGACAATGAACTGATCAAAGTCAAATATGATTTCTCAAGTCATTTCTAATCTCGCTTGTGGGGCTTAGGCCACTTATTTCCAAGTTGGAATGTTGTGTAGCTTAAAGTTTTGACTTAATTACCCTTGCAACTTCCCAAGTCGCCCGAATTTTCACTTAATTACCCCTTGCAACTTTGCTTATGTGACTTCAAAGCCACATCCAAGTCGCTTGCAACGTACAAAAAGCCAGCCAACACAATATTTTAGCCTTTCTAGCTATTTCTCTCATTTCTAACACTTCTTTTTCATTATTCTTACTTTATGGCAATGCTTACATGAATCACTATCATTTGGATACTTAAACTTTAATCAGTTGATACAGTGTATCATGCATTAGTTCATCTAGATCACTGATCATATTAGCACTGAAACCTTCATTCTCGGAAAACTAATGATCTTCAGGCGCTTCTATTTATGTTCCAATTCAAGGCTAAAGCATCTTGTGCTACTAATAATGCTCTAAAACACGAGTTTAAGGCTTGAATCATATCTTAAATTTGTTGTTCACTTGATTGCACTGAATTTTGTTTCTTGTTTTTTCATTAAAATCTCTCTTTTTGATGTTTGCTCAGATTGGGTGGAAGAACATAAGTCGATGCCTTTACCCCATTCAAGGTTCTTTTGCAACCTCCTTCAATCACACTATCGTCTGATGTGGTGGTTCCCCCAATGCATATCAATTTGAACGTGTTTGGAACCTACCAAACGTATCCAACTTTTTGGGTGTTGAACTACTAGACTATTGAACTTCATCTTTTAACGAATAGCACATTTAATCATTGGACTTTGCGTTAAACTTATTTTGAGTGTTACTAAACAATGTTGTTGAACTCAGTAAAGATTAACTCATTAAATCCTTTTCAATATATCGATATTTAAATAATCTAGGTACATTTTGTAAATTCTATGTCCATATCATGTACATGAACAACTAAATTGTGTTATGTTTGTACTAGTGTTATATTTGAATTGTTCCAAGAATCTGTAACTTAGTCCTTAAGCAATTTGTAAGTAAAATTTCAGTACAATCTTGAAAAGTGAATGTTTTTCTTGTTAAATGTGTGTCTGGAAGAGCTTGTATGCACCTCGACTAATCCTAATGGTTCTGTAGAACAGGTAAGAAAATCCGTATGGCCTTGCATGACTTTAGTTATATTTTCGTAACTTCAATTATGTGTTTGGAAATTTTATGTATGCAAGGATGTATATATTAGTAGACTCATGGACCCAAAAGAGACAATATCAAGTATTTAGATAAAGAATGATAATAAAAGGAATCCTTATGTACTAAAATGGTACGTTCTTGCATAGTTAAGGGACTATTTCTGTAACTTACTCTTCTATATAAACGTTTTGTATTCAGTTTTCTTCTTCCCTGGCATCCCTAGGCTCTACGACAGACTCGATTGGCTCGAAGCCGTTGGCGCCGGCGACCATATTTAAATCGGCAATGCGCAGTTGAAATTGCGTCAGAGTGCGCCGTGGAAGCATCAGAATCGATTACGGAAGGTAAAGATAGAACATCTGCTTCAAATTTCGTTATAATTAACTATGAATATAGCGTCGGATAATCATCTAGGTACTGATCATTGTGTAGAATACGACTGTATGAATGTGGGAATGGATACTATAAAGAATCACGTGTTTGTTCATGCTCAATCATCCATGCTTATTTAGGTTTTTGAATTTTTGTATGCTAGTGACGAGAGTTTCTGAAAAAATTGTCTGAGTCGCTATTGTAGGTATCATCGTCTTTGATAGAGTATTAAAGCGTTCTAGGCGATGAATGTTCGTCTGACAATGTTATCCATGGTGTTTACATCACTTGAATCTCAGGTGGCGTTTGGTAAATGTTTTTGGATGGAATGGAATTGTCAAAGGAATTTGACTTCGATGAAATTGGATTAGAATGTTATCAGGTTTGACAGTCTGTTTGGTTGACAGACATTGAAATGGAATTTGTTAAAGAATTTGGAATTTGTCACTTTGCTTCACAGAATGGCGCTTCTGAATTGGAATGAAATGTTGGTAAATGACCAAAAGAACAAACCAAACAAGGCAATGAAATGTGGTTAAAGGAATTCAACATTCAAATATCTACAGAATCTGCAAACTAAACGCTACCTTAGTGAATTAATTTTGGAGCCAACGTGACATCGATATTTTGTGTTAAAACAATCGTACAAAAATCTGAAAGAAAAAGAACTCGTAACCTTCTAAGTTTTGCTGTAGAATGTTTTTTGGGATTTCCCCATTTCAATGTTTTAATTTATGCAGACTGCAGAGTGTCAATACCAGTGGTTACAGAAAGAATATAACTTGGTTGTAAATAGAACATTCATAACCATTTTGTACTCTGACTTAAATTTTCAAGAAAACTTTGTTGTTGTAGTATACCTAGAGTTTGAACAATTGTGACCATGGTACTTGGCTTTGGTTGTATTAAAAAGGAAAACTGTTGTTACAGAAATTGAGCAAAATTATTCAAGTTTGCTAATTCATTTTTTGGGGATTCAGCCCTCTCTGAAACTTAAAGATCCTACTCACRTTCACTTTAAGAGGTGGTTTAAGGAGTTTATAGGTTTGCATCAAGGTATGTTGTTTTCCCAAATGTTGATGGCTTGGAGTTACATATCCCTGAAGAGAAGGAGATGAGCGCAAAAAAAAAATACAATGGTTCATTTTAATTAATTGTGAATGTTAATCACCCCTTAAATCCTTTGTCTTTTGGGATCAAGCAATGGACATACCAGTTAAATTAAACTATTACCTCTGCCAAAGAAAAAGAAATTCATAGTTTGACTTTTGAGTATTTCAAAATTAATTGTAGAATGTAAATATGCTAGTTACATTTAATTGTATAAAGAGCATAAGAAAGAAAACATCTTGGAGATACGAACAAAAAGGATCTATGGCAAATTTGAATATGAAAATATTAGGTTTGATTCTCTAGAGTCAAATATGAACTATTTTTAACTGAATGTTATGACTTTACTTGTTTGATTTCTATTAAACTTCTATATTGAAGCTATGGAGAATCCTGGAGTTTGAGAAGGAAGTTGTAATTTTAGAGGGTGCATATACAACTAATGATAATAGCATATATACAAGTTGCAACTCTCCCATCTTGCTAAGAAAATATGAACTTTGGCTTAGAATGCCAAATGGGCAAATTTGTAACGTCAAAGTCAACATTGATTAAACTTCAAAATAGAAGTTGAGATAAAATTGTACATATAGAAAATTTGGTGGTGATAAATCTACAATATAATCCATTGTCAGTTTAGCATTTGAAAGTATTATGTTGGAATCCACAGTTCTCATTATGATCATGCATCTCTTTACACTTTCATCACCAATATAAGCCATTGGCAATTTAGCATTTTTAGATGACATGATGAATCTGTGAATTCATTTGTGATACCATTGGTGTCTTTTCCACTTAAGAGTGTTAGATTTCATTTGCTTACACCATATTCCTTTAATTTCCGATTTTGTGGGTCCCATCTTATTTTTCCTTGTACTGTATTAATGGCTCTACGCTTGCTTCTCAATTTTCCTCACATCACATAAATATGGTCCACCCATTGTATGTCTACATCTGTGTCTATAGGTGAGCATACAGAGGTCATATTTGGAGTTCATAAAGTCCCATGAAGCAATCAAAGGATCCTTTTGAAGTAGCGTTTGAAGAACTAGACGAGTCCCCGCCAGATTCACCAAATCCCCATGATGAGATTGAGACTCAAACTCTAGCAGCAAAACCCTCTAAAAATTCCCAAAGATATGATGTAGAACATAGTACTAGTCCTTCAAACCAACCAAAAGCAAGAGTTAGGTTTTCTTCAACATCAGCGGCCATCCCAACTAATAAGAACAAAGAAGATGATGATGAGGAAGAAGAGGAAAACATGGATGTTGAACTTGGAAAATTCGCGTCTACAGGAGACCCAGACAAAATGGCCAAGATGCAGTAAGTTTTCATATGTCAATGTTTTTCACTATATTATATGCAAGTTTGGTTGACATATATGTTAATCTTTATTTCATTTTGTTAGGCTCCTAGCATTATCTTCATATTATTGTTGTATCTCATTCTCGGTTAAGCTATACTAGAAAGAATTAGATATAAAATTTTCATGAAACTATCATTATGAAAGGGTGAATTGGGTATTGAAAGTTATTCCTTCCTTCCACATAGTTTCATGTAACAAGCTTTCGTTATTGAGGGAATGTTAGCTAACTCCAATCCACTCAACTTTATTGCATAGTAATTTGGCGTGGTTTTTTAATGCCACATAGCAACTAAAACTAGTTGTTTCTTGGACTGCATTACGTTTCCTCTTTGATTGTCTATTTCATGTAGGAAAATTAAGAGTTCTTACACCCACATATTGAGATATATCCTTCCATCCAAAATAAAGTAATGAGGCGGTGTTTTGATTATTAGTGGAATATCTAAAATGCTCTTTGTGGTAACCATACAGAGGAATCGAGTGTTCCAAACCCAATGCTATTAGTATTTTGTAATGATTTATAATGGATAGAGTAATTGTGGGTTGAATTTTTGCCCAAAAAAGAGAAAACTGGTGGCATACCAAAGAGGAGTTGTAGGAAGAGTATTCAGACACCTTCTTGTGTAGGAATATAATGCAAGTATACCCGAATTCTTGGTGCTATCTACTCTATTATGAACATTCCTGTGTATTTGCATTTTTTACATACTAGCTTGATTACTAATCTTAGGCATTGCATTTCTGTTTATGTTCCAGATCAATATTATCTCAGTTCACTGAGGAACAAATGAGTAGGTATGAATCTTTCCGAAGATCTGGATTTCAGAAATCTAACATGAAAAGGGTACGTCTCTCTCCCTCTATCTCTCTTCCACGTAAATGCTCACACGGAGCTGAATCCCTCTTATTTTTATCTACAGTTTGTTTTAATGCTCTTGAAAATACAAACAAAATGTATTTTGTTATGCAGCCCGTTTATTTAGTCTGACATCTTTGAATTATAGGACTTTTATGGCTGATCTTTTAATGCATTACTGATGTTATTTGTTAGCAACATTTACCTCCATTCTTAATTATAATTTTCTCACATCCATTTTTCCTTACCAAAACATATCACATTTTCATTTCTCCCCAGACCAACAAAATGAAAATGCGGAATGTTAAACAGCAACATTTCAGGATTGTCATTCTCTTATCGGTGTAATGAAAATGCGGAATGTTAAAACAGCAACATATGATTATAAGTCCCATTTGTTAATAATGTCCTGGTTGATTTAACATTAAAATGTGAAAAGAAAAAAAAAAAATTGATATGGGTCCCACAAAATGGAGGTAAATGGTGCAAACAAACCATCAATAGCATCTCCAACAATTCTCTAAAAGATTACATTCAACTTCAATAGATTCTCTATTTTAGAGATTTCAACATTAAGTTTATTATTAAAATATTCATAATTTTATAATCCCAATACGTTTTTTCCCTATAAAAATACACTTTTTAAAGAACCCTTTACATAAAATAATAATAACTCAATCACATTGGTGTGAATGAATTTAAAAAATCATTTTTCTCTCCTCACATCAAGAATTAGAGAATGCTCTTATTTTCTCTATTTTATAGAATATTATAGAGAATCAGTTGGAGCAAAATGGAGAATAAAATCTCCATTTTCTCCATCTTAGAGAATCTATTGGAGATACTCTAAAACGACTAAATGGTCATTGACCCAACGGTAGATCCAATTTCCAAGGAGGTCAAAAGGTTCAAGCTTCACCAAATGTGATTAAGTATGTGAGTTATCCGTATATATAAATATATACTTTAAAAAGATGATCTAAAACGAACAGAGCCTGATATTCTCTTTGTTATCTTGGGGTATGAATACAACAGTTGTTAGGCAGCATTACTGGGAGTTCCAAGATTTCAATGCCAATGACTATTGTGGTATCTGGGATAGCAAAGATTTTTGTTGGTGAACTGGTTGAAACAGCGAAGATGGTAATGACGGAAAGAAAGGAGTCAGGACCAATCAGACCGTGTCACGTTCGTGAAGCATACAGAAGGCTGAAACTGGAAGGCAAGATACCTAAAAGATCAGTGCCAAGGCTCTTCCAGTAGCAGCTGCAACTTTTAATCTAAACCTGTGTCTGATGCTGGCTGGCATGGTGCTAAAAGACTGGATATGCAGTCATCTGATTTTGGCCATTTTTCTGGGGTTGGATCTTGTTTGATCTTGAGGTTTTATTTATTTATTTATTATCATTATTATTATATAGAGAAAGAAATGATATGTAAATACTTTATGATGTTTCACATATATTGTTTATTCATAACTACCACATAAAATGTCCAATAAAACCAGCACAAGGTACAACTTGATGAAACAGGAACTGTTGACATAGTTCTGGCTCTCGAACCACCAGCTGGAATCCAGATTTCTTTAATCGTTGGAAGTGTGGCGCCAACACTTGTGAACAAACGTTCATCCATCTAGCCCATCTCATTTTGCGGGTCGCATGACCCACAAATTAACGATGGAAAGTGAAATCCTTGAAACAAGGCCGAGACTACACCATCTTAAAAGAAATCCGATGGCGGGCCTTTTCGAAGCTTTTCTTGGAGATCCAATTGCTTAGGCAAAACCATTTCAGTTCCCTGGCCTGATTCTGAGAAATACCTCTCCAACACCATCTGAGATGATGAATAAACATTCACTCTATTTGGTTGCATTTTTTGTAGTTCAACCAGAAATATATATATATATATATATGTGTGTGTGTGTGTGTGTGTATGTGTATTATATATATATATATATGTGTGTATGTATGTGTATATATATGTGTGTGTAGACTTGGGATCATGTGAGACCAAAGGTTTTTTGTGAGACCTGTAAGATCAAGTCTCAATCCTTGGATTAGATCTATAACCTGACAATCTAAACATTCATAAACGCCACGAGATTCTCAATAATCACAAAATTGTCACCGTGCAACTTTAGACCATTAGATCATTAGCTTATAAAGTTGATCAATGAACATAAATTGGTCTTACGGGTCTCACGAAAAACCCTTGGTCTCATGTGAACCCAACCTTGTGTATGTATGTGTGTGTATATAAATATATATATATATATTTTTTTTTTTTCATAAACCAAACAAACATAATATATCTTGTTTCCAACAAAATGCAAAGGAATTAAAGATCAAACATTGCTCCAACAAAGTTTGAACTTCTTACCATGGCTGCATAAGCATCAAGGCTTTCTTTTCGAGCAGATTTGCCGAGTCCCCTGAGATGTTATTCGGTTACCATGATTACGAAATGGGAGTTGTTGGCATTTGAACATGCATATAGTTTGGACAGAAATGGACCGGACAAAACAAAACTTCTTGTCTCACGTTTGGCACGCCATCAGACTGGGACAGGACTGAACTAAGTGGGGTCCCACCAAAATAGTGGAACAAAAACCAGGGAGATGAAACAAGATTGGTAAATCACTAAACTACTCATTTCAAATTAAAACCCGAGAAACCTTCCACCATTCTTTCACCCACCAGCCTCACTCTTGTCTATCCAGTCCAGTTTAGTCTAGTTTTGTCCAGTCTCATCCACATACCAAACGCACGCAAATGATGTTAGATCAAGTGAAGAAGGTTAATACATGTTAATCATGCGGTTCATTGCATCTGTTGATGTTCCGTGTTCGTCCTGCAAGTATACTCTCCAACCCCTACATACGCATAAGAAGACAATTACAATACAAGAAAGCGTTTTATTAGCGGTTAACTCACGCCACAAACATCCAAGAAAAGGGTTGAAGACGGAAGTCTTAGTTGAACAGGTTAACCATTTCCTTATTTTCCGATAGCATGAGGGAAAAAAAGATCTTGTTTCTTCAACAATTTCTGATCTCTACAGAGCCTCTCAATAGGATTCGAACCCATATGAAGTTCTAACCATCTGTTAGCCAAAAAAGAACGAACGGGTCTTGTAAGATTCCTAAGATCTTCAATTTCTTTCGGAAGCATGTGACTTCTCACATGGTTTGACGAAAGTGTTTCGACTACAAGTTAAATACCTAAAATACCCTTCAACGGTAACAAAATAGAGTGAATCTTATGTACCAAAATCAAGTAGGAAGATCAACTCAACCAAGGTCTACGTTACTAAAATACCTCTCTGCAGCTCGAATGGCGATCCTACCAGCAACACTACGAACTTTATTGGATTGTGGCGTTTCTTTTCCATCTGATGAAATAGGCAGCCCGATAATAAACTCGTCTACCTCCTATATTACCAAGTTTCCGTTTTAGACATGCACAAACACACATAGGCATTTAGGTACAGTTCGAAGATCTTAACATCTAGGTTAGCCAGGGTGCATTTGGTATGCAAACAGGACAGGACAACCGAGAGTGAGGTAGACGGTGAAAAAATTGTGTAAGGTTTTAGGGTTTTTAAACTCACATGAGTATTTTAAGAATTCACCAATCTTATCTTATCTCCCTTGTTTTTATTCCGCCTACTTTGGTGGGATGCACTTTTTTTGCTCGGTGACTTCTTGTCTCAATCTGATCTCGCGTCAGATGTGGTACAAGTTTTTGTTTAGTCCTATTCTGCATACCAGGACGGGATAGAAGAGTACAAAAACTTGTCGTTCCATGTTTGTCGCAACATTAGATTGAGACATTGCACGAACTGAGTTGGACAAAAATGCATTTTTTTTCTATCCCACCAATATAGAACAAGATTGGTAAACTAAAATAAAACAAGATTGGTAAATTACCAAACTACCCATGTCAAATTAAAACCCTAAAACCTTCTGCAATTCTTTCACCCCCTAACTCATTCTCGCCCTTCAAATGATGTGAATTCCACGTCCATATACACCCGAAAGGTACAAATTTTAGGTATTGTACTATACGCATATCCGGTAGTACTTTCTATGAGATTGTTTTACAATGTTAAAGATTACTAGAATGCAGCATGCCATCTGGGCAAGAGGGAGAAGCACCCCTGATTCATAGTAACAAATGTGACAACTATATATTAAGGGTTTGTTTGGTAGTTGTTGAATAGTTTAGTGCGGAATGATTAAGTGATCAGAATGATTAAGAGGCTCTAATGATATAATGCAAAATGAAATATAATTGTTTGGTAATTGTCTACGATGAAATTAAGGCGTTGAATGGTTAAGGGACGCCATGATGCAAAATCATTTAGACTATTTCAGATTCGTTAAGAGGCAGACTTTTCTTTTGCCAAAGAAGATTCACCTTTTAACGGTTCAGATGCCGCCTCTCAATGGAACTATTAAGAGGTAAACAAACAACACCAAAGTAATACCAATTTTACAATGCAATAGTAACAATGCTTGTCAAAATCGAAGGTGAAAGATGATGATTGAAATTATGTAACTAAATATGGATGGATCACTGTTGATTTTAGAAGTTAATAGGGTTAGAACTTCAACAATCCATTTATGTTCATGGGAGAAGAATATACCTGTTTTTGAGCAATTTCAAGCAGACCCATCTCAAGCTTTTGGCCTCTTAATTCCAGAACCTAAAATAGATATCAAAACCAAATCAAGAGGCTAAGAAACAATTGAAAGTGTACAGATTACTTACAGAAATTGGGTATTGAATTAAATAAGCGGCCATTAATGGAGATTTGAAGAACAAACCTTGAGGGGACGAACCGAGAAGCCTTTGCTAAGAGCAAGGCCGGTACGAGATAAACCCAGATCAATTCCTAGACTAAATCCACCCATCCAACTCGAATCAAGCTTCCTTCGCATGGCGTTTGGGGGGAAAGGGTGTTCTTCGAGGGAGACATCTGCCCTAATCGTTGAAAACCGCAATCGTAGAGAATTTGAGGGAGTATTAGGATGTGTATTACAAAGGTTAGTGGGTAAAAGTGTAAATATTGTTGACAGTCGCTGAGTGTGCGCCATCTTTATTCACTCTCTGGTTCCTGATGCCATAGTGTGACCAAGGAAGGAGATGGATAAAGTAATGTGACTTTTCATATATACCCTTTATCTTTTAGATGATTAACAAAAACACCCATTAACTTTTAACGTTTAACTTTTTCTTTAGGGGTGGGTGTGCTCACGGACTCTTCGGAAGCATCCAATGATTTCTTTTATTCTTTGTCTCTTTAGTTTTAATAAAACAATAATGTTTTTATTTTTAAATAAAATATAAATTTTAAAATCGATATTAATATTAAATTAATTATTTAAAAAAATTTGTTTTTTTATAATTTTTTAATTCAGATTTTATTATAATTTAAATTATTTAGGTTTAAAAATATGTNTATTTTAGAGTTTTTATATTTAAAATAAAATATTTATCTTGTATTTGATTATTTTTATCTATAGTTAGTTACATGAATTCAAAAACAAAATTTTAATAAGTTGTATTTATATACAATTTATTTGTAATTTTAAATTTTAAATAATATGTATTAATTAACAATACTTAATACATAAAAATTGGTTTTTAATAGTTTTTTTTGGAATGCTTCGTAATATAGTATTGATAAAACAATATATAAAAAAAAGTAAGAGTAGATTACGTTTTTAGTCCCTGTGATTTGCTGAAAATATTTATTTATGTCCTTATGATTTTAAAATGACAATTTTCATCCATTTTTGTTCTTATAATTTAAAATTTGTTGTTTATTTCGTTACAGTTTATTTCTATTTTAATCTTCATATTTAAAAGCATTGTTTTGGCCTCATGGACGAAAATAGAAATGAATTACAGACTTTAGGGATAAAAACCGAAATTTTGAAACCAAAAATACGAAATTCGCAATATTTAGCAAACCACATGGATGAAAAACATAATTTCCTCTACAAATAATATAGAATGAGAATCAAACGAGAATGATAACTATTTAAGTGAATATGAAAATGATCAAATCACGTGAAAAATCACATGTGATTTTACATTAACGGCCAAAAAATGTGCGTTGATGACTTTGGCGCGTCTTCAAGTCGCGTGAATCTGTAATTCGAACGTGATTTTATTCTCTTAAATAGGTACCATTTTCATTTGAACTCGTCTCTCTCTCTCTCTCTCTATATATATATATATGTGTGTGTGTTTGTGTATGTATATATATTTTTTGAAAGACAACAATATTATTAAGCAAAAAAGTTAAGGAAATACATAACAGGCCAGAGATTACAAAACAAAGACCACGTAGGCAAACCAAACCAAACCCAAACGACGAAAAAGAGAGCTTGTTTAAGTTACGAGATGGAAGAAAAATGATGTGGTCCACTAATCCCAATTCAAAGACTCTACGATCGTCTAATCAAACACTCGAACTCGTATTTCCATAGCAACTTACAAGGAGAAACCACGTTAATATAAAATAAGAAGTACGTAAATTTGCATAACTTGAATTGTAGTTGGATTATATAATTTGTAATGTTTATGCTTTTGACAAGTCAAGGTTACAGATTTTAATTCCATGTTGCTTAATCGCTTATATATGACGTTTTCATGTAATTGGTTTACCTACAAGGCTATAATAGTATTGTTTCTTAGGTGGCGTCTGTTTTTTAAGAAGTGTTGAAATCTGAAGTCTGATTTCATTCTGATTTATAAGAGGCGGTGCTGAAGTTTGAAATCTGAATCAATAAAACTATTTGTTTTTGTAAAGTAACAAATGTCTAAAGTCTGAAATATGGATCAAAATAACATGCCTCAGTTAATACGATATATATATATATATATATATATATATATATATATGAGCATTCAAATAAAAATACTCAATTTATACAAACCGTGAAAACCACATTCAACCAATCATAATTTTTCATTTTGTTCCTTTTTTTGTAATTATGAGAGGTTGATTAACTATTTTTATTGTGGAGGGTGTTAATCATGGATATTATCATCTTCATTATTTTAATTTTAGAGAAATACATGAAACAGTTTCATTAAAATTTCATTAAATATTATATGAAACAATTTCATAACCATTTATGAAATAAATTCATCAAAAAGGTATTATTTGAAACAATTTCACAAGATAAAACATTTTATGAAAAAATTTCATAAGATTAAACAATAAAATCGACGTATGAGGGTGGTTTTCATTTGATCGCTCCTCTATATATATATATATATAAAGAGAGAGAGAGAGAGAGAGATAGAGAGAGAAGGAGGTTTAAATACAACCTTTGACATTCTTACACCCAATACAACCATCATCTCTTCCATCCAATTTTTAATCTAAGGTCAAGATGCATTTGATGGCAAAGTTGTAATAAAATAGATACATTGATACACGCGCCTGATTCTTTGAGGGCAATGAAAGGCAAAATTGTAAGGGGAAAATCAATCTATTCTAAGAAATGATACTATGAAATTAAGAATGCGATAATCACTCTAAATCATATGCTAACACCGTGATTCAGTGAAAGAAATCGATTCTGGGTAAGAAGATATGGTAGACGAACTTCATCATGGTATATTCATTGCAGCAAATCGAGGTAAGAAACTTCGTTGAATGCAATTAGTATAATGTTTTGATATAACCTTATGGTGTGTTATCTATATGAATCAGTAAGGAAAAGAAGTGAGCGAATAATGATAAAGAATTCATGTGCTACCTATATGCACTAGACACATGATTTGGAACTCATGCAACTGAAAACCTGCAGTTACAGTTGCATGTTATTTAATAGATGTGTCCAAATGTTTAATTTTTTTTTTTTTTTGATTGGTGGTTTTATAGTCCGCCTGTTTACACATACTAAATAACAATATATCTTTTTTCTCCAACAAATATGTCATTAGAAAAGCCATATCTTCAAAAGATCTATTCTTGGTGAATGGACCTCCTGGAACTAGAAAGACAACAACTGTGGTGGAAATTATCCTTCAAGAAGTGAAGCGTGGATCAAAGATTCTTGCTTGTGCAGCCTCTAATATTGTTGTTGACAACATTGTTGAACGAATTGTTCCTCAAAGGTAACAAATTTCTCATTATGGAGAAAGTAGGTGGTTGAGTAGTTCATTTACATGCTCTATACTTGTCTGTTACCATATGACAATGTTACAGTGTATTTAGGTTCATTAACAGCATGTTACAGTGCATATAAAACAGCATATATGGAAACTTGATTCACCATATAAAACAACATGTTACATTGCATTTAGGTTCATTAACAGGTTGTTACAGTGCATATAAAAAAGCATGTAAAACACCTGTTTATGAAACCTAATTAACAGTTGTATACAAGGATCCTCAAAGCTACAGTTAATGTATATCAATGTTTTATATGTGGGAACAAACAACACAATTACACAGTTTTATACAAACCATCCTACCATATAGTCAAAATAACAATGCATCTAGCTTCATTGTGTTGCTAATTAATTTCATTGATATGTGTTAACCAAATTCAATTAAATTATGGCTGGTTTGTGTAATTGCACACTTGAACATTTTCATAACACGTTTTAACCAAGCTAATCAAATGATATAAAAATTTAGTGAAACAATCTCATAAGCAGTAGTAAGAGAACTGACATATAGCAAATACAGTGAAACCAGGTTCTCAAATCARGAAGTTTCATTAGTCACTACTTAGTTGTATTGGTATAAAGATTTGTTAGGTCAAGAAATTGGGGTGATGAACACTACGGGTGATAAAAAACATTCACTAACCTTTGACATTATGGTGAATCAAAACTATTTACATGATGACCATAATGGTGAATCTTCTTTAATGTGCTTGCTTTCACTATTTACATGTTGTCCATAATGACACAGGTTTCATAAACATTCATTAAAATGATGTTTATATGTTAATGTAACAGGCTTCATAATGGTTTTATTAAACTGTTCCATAAACAGGTTTCCTAGACAGGTTTCATTAACATATATAATGGTGAATCTTGTTTACCTGTTGTTTATATGGTGAATCAAAACTGTTTAAATGTTGTTTATAATGGCGAATCTTTTTTACGTGCTGTTTCATAATGGTGAATATTGTTTACATGTTGTTTATATGGTGAATCAAAACTATTTACATGTTGTCCATAATGCAGTGAACACAGATGTAGCATGTTGAACTAATCATTCCAGCCCAGAAAGAAGTGGATTCAACATGTGTAAAGGGTTTGAAAAAAATGAACGTTTATTTTAGTAATAGCTCATATGTGGATCATAATGGAAATACTTCTGGTTCCATTATGTAATTACGGGTTACAATGCACACTCTTAGAGGTTTTGGTACATGCTCCTATGAACTTCACATATTTCTTGTCCTTTGCAGTGAACCCAGATGCAGTTCAACCTGTTGAACTAATCATTCCAGTCTAGAAAGAAGTGGATTCAACATATGCAAAGGGTTTGTAAAAAATGAACTTTTATTTTAGTAATAGCTCATATGTGATTACAGGTTACAATGCACACTTTTAGACGTTTTGGTACATGCTCCTACGAACTTCACATGTTTTCTTGCAAACTGCAGTGAACCCAAATGCAATGCAACCTGTTGAAATAATCGTTACAGTCTAAGAAGAATTGGATTCAACATATGTAGAGGGTTAATAAAATTGAACCTTGATCATAGTAATAACTCATATGTGAATAAATATGGAAATACTTCTGGTTCCCTTATGTAATTAACGGTTAAAACCACACTCTTAGTGGTTTATGGTGAATGTTCCTATGAACTGAACATCATTCTTAGTGGTTTATGGTGAATGTTCCTATGAACTGAACATCATTCTTGTCATTTTGTAGTCAACCAAGATGAAGTGGAACCTGTTTAACTATTCATTCTAGTCCAAGAAGAAGTGGAGTCAACATATGCCAAGGGTTAGTAAAAAATGAACCTTTATTCGTACTGTAATGATAGATCAGTGACACTTGCTGCATTATGATATGGTTGCATTAATGAACGTAAATGTTATTTCAATCAGATGACAGTCATGAAGATGTACTTGG